ATTCTTTCACACGCAAGGAAAGCACGTCAAGATATTCAAAGTTGAAATAGTTTTTCAATTCTATTTCAGGCTGTTTTCAAAGCAAAATAAAAAATAATTTTACCGCATTTGCTCATAAATAGATTTATCGATGTTAAAAAAAAATCATGTTCATTGATGTATAAGAAGAATTTATTGTCATCAAAATGAAGGTGTAGGCCTGTCCGAGCCTCAATACCCTGGATCTTGATTATGTGATAATGCTCATGGTTTCTGCAGAGCAGACTGTGCTGCAAACCGCAGTGCAAAATGAAAAAAATATCTTCCTGATCTTTGTGTCATTTGTAGATGTAGAGCAAATTCAGAACAATTTTTACTATAGAAGTTGAAAAAACTCCTCATTTTTTATTCACCATAAACTTTAACCACATCATCATTATCCGGAAAATCAAGAGATTTCTTTTCAAATCTTACACACTCTCAGGCTAGCTAGTATCTGATGTAAACTCTTTTTATATGACCATAAATTATCGATGATCATGAGATATTAATGACAATGAAATATATTTTAACATTTAATATTAAGTGTAAGCAAGTTTTTAAAATATTTTACGCATGATTTTTACTTGTTATAATTTACGAATTATTTTATTGAAGTAATAAAAAAAAAACGTCTCATTTCCCCATGTGCACTCTCTAACACAATCACAAAAAGATTGGCCGCTACCGCAGCCGATAATAATTACATGTTTTATATGTATGAACTTTTACATAGAAGAGCGGCCAAACATATACATTCAGAGCTTTCAGAATACGATTTTACAAAATTAGAAAATGGGTTATTGCCTATTTATCATAAAATATAAATTAAATTCTTCCCTTAATTATTGAATTCCTATGTATTTAACTAGGTACTTAAATTATCGATTCGCTCTGATATTTGGTTGTATAAAGATTACGATGTATATAAACGTCCATCTGGTCAGTCATTGTTGCTTGACGACGTCTTGTTTTCTCCTCTCACATTGGTAGCGCGTATGAACAGGTATGAACACAAGCTTGTAAACAAAATAAACGGCAATTCACAAAAAAGGAAAACCAGAAGAAAAAAGTGTCTGTGTAGATGAAAAACACAACTCATTAATTTGTTTTTGAACGACCCCATACGTTTTTTTCTTTCTCCCATGCATTTCGACTATACGGAAAAAAGATCACTAGAACCTTTGGTTATATTAAAAGAAAGGTGTTGAACCTTCAAACGGCACTATATCCGAACAGCTATTATAAAGCCTATCAAATATATCACGGCGTCAATAAAAGAATTATTTAAATATTTCAAAAAATACTAATTTCATTCTAAGAAAAGCCACGCAGCTGTATACAGACATTCCAAAATAATGTTCCATGGACCGACAGGTGGTTTAATTCCTCTCATCACTTTAAGTACCCAATCCCTTAATATGAATACAATGTCTTCCTTCTAAGCAGAGAATGTCAGTCGGTTGATTTGTTTTTGTACAAGCATGTATACATGTAGTTTAGGGGTTGAATTCCGAGACTGAAAGTTACGACCCTTTTTTTATGTAAGCCAATAATCATACATGACATGTTATGCCCTGCCATGAATATGGCCATGGCATTTGGTGTTTGTCGGACGTCTTCCATCCTTTCTACTTTCTGTCCTTCCGTCTCTCCTTCTGTCACACTTTGCCTTTATATCAGTTCAAAGCTTAGTTTCAAACAAACTATCCAAGATATTTTTATCAATCTTTATATACTGATAGAAATTAATTAGAGTTATGCAATTGAATTAACGTTTTTTTAAACTTGACTTTATATACATATATATATATACCTCACTTTTCTTAAATTAGTGTTTAGCTCAGTTTTAAACATACCATTCCAAATGGTGTTATCAAACTTCACATGTTGATGCATACTGATGAGAGCTATTTAATGGCATCACCATTTTTGAACCTGGCCTTTCTTTTAACCTTGACCTAACTCTTTTTATCTCAATTTTAGCTCTAACGAGAGTTAGTTATTGCTTAGCACAAGGTCATTTGGAAAGATCAAGGTCACACATACTAGTATTCCTTTACAGTCTTTTTCCTAGCGAAACATTGTAAGTTGCTTCTCTTACAAGGTTTTTTACTTGTATATCTTTAGTATGTGCGTGATCGGGAGGTCGTGAGTTCGTATCTCGGCCGCGACTGACCTAGTCGTTAAAGTGGGTAGCAACTGTTCCTTCGCCATGCGCTCGGCACTTTGAAGTGAAAGTTGCGGATCCTTCGGATGAGACCTTAAAAACCGAGGCCCCATGTCAGCGGAAGGCGTTGGCACGATAAAGATCCCTCACTGCTCAATGGCCCTGAGTGCCGAGTAAAGGTCAAAATTTGAAGACTTCACCGGCATACGGTGACGTCTCCATATGAGTGAAAAATTCCCGAGAGGGACGTTAAACAATATACAATCAATCAATCAATCTTTAGTATGTGGCTTTTGACCTCGACTCAAAGTACGTAGCTCCAACGGAAGACCTATTCGTTGCTTTGCAACGAGCTCGGCTCTAGTTAATATAGTAATATTTACTATTTGTTTACGTTCGACATAGGCATTACTAGAAAGAAATACGGTAATTAAATAATCTAATTTCAGGTATTTCATAGGTAGCTCTGCATCTACGGTTTCCTTCCGCATTCGAGAAGACAGAGAAATTTTGGGATTTGAACCGTCAACCTCGTTTAACAGATTTTGTGGTGATGATGAGTCGGACTGTGAACAACCAGCACATTGGACTATTGTTTATTGAAGAGAAAGTGGAGATGATACCTCAGGAAATCATTAGAGATGGGATCTTAAATGAAACAAATGCATTGTGTTAAACAAATGTTGAATATTATTACTATTCAAAAAAAAAAAATAAATAAATAAATTGATACAAATATTCCCTCGTGTTCAAATTCTGAATTGAAAGCGGACTTTGCTTGCCGTGATCTCTCAACTTTGGGAAAATATTTCTAAATCGTAAAACTGATAACATATCTAGAATACCAAGGGACCTTGTGCATTACAAGATGTAGGATAAAGGCTGAGTTATGAATGAAATAAATATCCCCTCGCAACGAAATTGAAAGTGATAACTTAAACAATTTGTCTGAGGACAACTAATAATTCACACCAAGATCGATATGCTCTTCGCAAGGAGGCTCCCAGATATTTAAGAAACAGTTCCATGCTTTACATATTCCAAATATGATGCATGTATCGTATTGTAAATTTTGAATTTCTAACTGTAGATGGGTAAAAGTAAATTTCCAAAATGAAAAATTCAAAATGAAAAAACTAAATTTAAAAAAGCTACGCCGGTTATTATTCTTGTATGCATTATATTATTTAAATAAAAACTCCCTAATGCTATATATTCTCAGAAGAAATGCATAATTTGATCATATCTTGCGGGAAGAAATTTGACAGAAATGGTTTTAAACTACTATAAAAAGAATAATAGTAATCACAGAGAGATCTAGAGTTATTCGTATCAGATGGTTATTGGACCTTAAATTGCTTTAGAGAAACTTAGAAGTTTGATATAAATAATTCCGAGTCATTTTTAAATCGAGTTATTTCTATTTGTATTGCCGAATTTTGCAGACTTCTGACGTCACAATAATCCCCTTATCCTGTACAAGGAGACGACCGGATTGATTTTTTGTGATGAAGCATCTTTTTTTATTCATTCTGTAAAGAATAACATTTGTAGGCCTTGACCGCAACACTGAGCTGTAATCATTAAGCTCTTAGTAAAAGACACGAGAGGGATATTGAACAAATGTATTTCTCATTAGCCGACAACTTCTACGCAACTCTATGAGACAGAATTAAGTAACTCTGCTGATTCAGAGATAGAATTATTTTCCCATTATTATTTCTGTAAATCTTAATGCCCCTATAATCGAAGATTCGGGGTAAATAGTTTTTTCCCTATCCGTCCGTCTGTTTGTCTGTCCGCAAAATCTTTAACCTTACCCATAACTTCGGATTGGTTGAGGCTATTGCTTTTATATTTCACATGTGTATTCCTTGTGGAAAGACTTTTCTTTGGGTATCATCAAATTTGATCTTTTGATCTTGGAGTCTTACATGTACCAAGTTTTGTAAAATTTTACCCAACTTGAACCTTGGTCATATCTTTTGAATAGTTAATTGGTGTTAGGGCGTTCATATTTCACATATGTAAACCTTGTGACAAGACCTTTCATTAGATTCCAATTACTTTGACTCTTTGACCTTGGAGTTTAACCTTGGCCCTTTCTTTTGAACGGTTAGGGCTAAGGCTTTCATACTTCAAATATGTAATTCTTGTGTCAAGACCTTAATTGAATACTAACAACGTTGTCCTTGCCTTTGGAGTTTGACCTACTTTTAAAAATAAAATTAACCTTGACCATTTCTTTTGAACAGTTAGGACAAGGTTTTTTTTACTTTAAATATGTAATCCCAGTGACAAGACCCTCCTTTAGATACAAACAACTTTGACCCTTTGACCTTGGAAGTTTGACCTACTTTTAAAAATATTTTACCTTGACCAAAGCACTTAAACAGATGGTGTGGGGGCTTTCATACTTCACAAGTGTATTCGTTGTGAGAAGACCTTACAATGTACTTTGGGCACCAACATATTATTTACATGTTTGATATGCATTTGAGATAAATCTTCGCTATAAGTTGCCATAGGGGGCATCAGTGTTTCACAAACACATCTTGTTTATATTTATTTTTAGACAGTTTGTGATCATTTGCTTGAAAAAAATATATTCAATGGTCAAGTGCTTTTTTCTGATTTATGTTCAAAATCGAATTTTATCTCATATGTTATACATGCAGTACTAGTAACTTTCCTGGGACTGGTTGATGCTAATCCTTCAAACCCTTGATCAGACTGAATTAAACTTAAGTTAGAAGTGATTCAAAGTGGCTTCATATTTCCCTATATGATATTTTCAAAATTAGATAAAAACCTCAATATATTTTATATTTCATTTTCAAAATGATTCTACGTATTGGTTTATCTACACTGTATAATATATGTCGTATTTAAGTGACGCTTACATATATTTCAGAGTTAAATTCATTCGTTGGAAACAGCTGTGTTTTTCAGAATTCGTTTAACCTTCAGATCTATACCATAAAAATTGACAATGTACCAAAAATATGAAAACAATTGCAAGTTGCAAGTAGTATACTTAAAACTACAAACAGGAAATCACATGGAGTGGTAATTATTATGTTCTCGCCATAGTTCCTCGTTCCACTTTCTGTAATTATAGTTTGGCACAACCACGAGAATTAAAATGTAGGATGCCACAGTACTGAGGAAATAAAACCAAAATAAAACCCTGTCAATCACAGATGCAATCTGCTGCCATTCAGCCACTATTAACTTCCTTTGAAACAACGAAGAAAATGTTCGACATACTTCCGGTGTCCTTGACCTTGAGGCCACTTTTGGCGGTTTATCTTTGGTTGTGTTATTATTGTCTCTGGGCTCTTCCAAATCAGAATTTTCACAGTCTTTCTGCGATCTATTTGTATCGTCAGGATTTTCATTCAGTGGCTGCATTTCTTCCTCGTTTTCATTATCTCGTGCTGCTGGTGAGGCTTCTTCCGCCCTGCTAACTTTCTTTCTATTCCGAATGAATTGATTTTCCAGAGACAGAGTTTCTAATTCCTGGTATAACAGATCATCCTTTTGCTTGGTTGAAAATGAATGCTTCTTGCAGACATAGGCACCTTTTTTCTCATCTTCCTTTTGAGAGAAGAAATTGAAAATTCTTATTAAATCTTCAGAATATGACTAAAGAATTCAAACTTATTTCATCTATAGTTTCAAATCTGGGAGAAATGCAACTGCTTTACTTACTAAAATTACGTCTTTTGCAAACTTGATTAAGTCATGCTTGAGAAACATGATCTTGGACAACCATACAAGAGAGATGAGTCTTAGCCAGGCTGGTGCCCTCTTTGTTTTATGTCCTCTGTTGTAGAGGTTTATTACAATCACAGCCATTATCACGGACAATGACGTCATTGTCATCACCACACATAGGTATATTCCTAAAACATGTTATGATATCTTTTTATGACTTTGAAACTTTGTTTTGGAAAAGTATGCAAGAAGAGACAGTGAAGCTATTTTTATATTGTTATTATTTTCTGAAAGAAAGTAGATAAAGGTTTTATTAGAATGTATGCACTTTTTGGTTACCTATCAATGGAACAGATTCTGAAGTTGCTGGGACTTCCTCGGCTATCAGTAACATAAACATGGAGAAAGCCAGGAAAACCGACAGCCCGAGAGTTATCTTTTCCCCTGAAGTAGGCGGAAGCCAAAACGTTAACAAAGTCAAGGCAGACAGCATGACACAAGGAACAATGATGTTAAAAATATAATAAAAAGTCTTCCGTCGGATATGTAGAACATATGTGATGTCAGGATGTGGATCTTCACAACAGGAGTGTGTTCGAATATTTCTCTTCAATGTTACTGATAATAGATCCCATTCGCTGTTGTTGACGTAGGCAGTTAGATCTACCGGAGACCCCGTGTCATTGTGTAGTGAGTGGTAGTCAATCCAGGATCCACTGTATATCCAAGAACCAAACCTTTAAAACAACCAGTATTTACAGTTTTAAGAAACGTATTGTTAAGAGATATATTATATACGATAATAATTAAAAATAATTCAGTTCACTTCACTTGTTCAAAAATTGAGTCACGTGAAGCGATCATGATCATCTGTATTAAAATTTGTGGAAAATATTTCTAGAAAATATCTTATTATTGTTCAAAATAAAAATGTGTTGTTCTTGGGGTTTGTCGAACTAGAGGTTAATGAATGGGATTCCTTTTTTTCTTTTCTTTTTTTTCAAATTTATCAGATATACCTTAAAATACATTCCTGATCATCGAAAGGAAAATAGGTAATATCCACTTTGCAGGAGCTTTTTAACTTGACTGGAACTGGCCACACCACAATGCCGTCATAATTAAGGAGGACGTATGTTCCCTGCATGAAACCTGTAGATCCATCATCAGCACTACAACACGCAAATTCAAAACATTTGTCTCAAAATTTGTTTTCTGTTACAGAAAGTACGATAACTGTGTTCTTCTACCTTTGTTTTATTTTAATATACTTTAGAACCCATTGAGAACAAGCCATTTCTTTTAGAAGAAGTCGAATCATTTTCTAGATTTTCTACATTGTACTTTTGTGTTATCTATTTTTAAGCATTTCTCCATTCCATATTCAAAATATAGGAGATGCTAGATTTTTGTAACAAAACGACTTTATTGAACCTGTACGTATGTAGTTAAAATATTCATTCTGACATTGTTTTTGGTTATAAATTATGCTTCCTTTGTATCTTACAATACTTTTCACTTTCAGAGTGAGTAAACAGTTACAAGTATGTACTTGATTCATGATTCATAAAAGTCTAGTAAGGGGGACAAGGAAGAATGGATTACTTGTTGTATATGAAGGTATCTGGAAGCCACACTCTTTTCGACGGAACACGAATTGATCGGATTTGGCTGTAATTGGCCGGATCCCATCGCAAATTTTCATCTCTCCAAGCCTGAAAAATGCAGATAAATTCAAAAATTATATTGTAAAACACATTCTGGATGAACAGGTGCGAAAGATATCCATTTGATAACCTCCCTCCCCAATTTAATAGTCAATGATGTTCAAATTAGAACAGAAACATTATCAGATTCAAATTGGAATTTCTGGAAACAAATTGGATATCTTTACCTTTAACCACAAGTGCGAAGACTACGTATCGTCTAAATGTACGTACGTAATTATAAAGATGGGGTTGCTTTAGTTTTGTTTAACACGATACAACAGTACAAGGATCACTTTAGAATTTTTTGCTTCCTGTTGCGTTTTCTGAAAGATGTTTCCCTTCCCTACACCGTTCTCTCTAAAAAAAACATTGATAAACGATATGTACTCCCGTTACCTGGCAAGTTCTCAATGCTTTATCTTTATTTAGGTACAATCTACAATAATCCAACAATCAATCTCTTTTCTTTTAAGAGATAAAATGAGTCACCTTTTTGGTATATGTTATCAATTCGATTGGCAAAAAAGCGAAAGTCATGCAAATAAAACAAAACACAAACGTTCAAGAAATGTGAAGTATTGAAAATCTTTTCACGATTTCCTATTTATTTTCCCCTGATTAAGTAATTAGTATGGCATCAAGCTTCAACTTTTATAATTATAGAAACTAAATGTTAACGACTTTTTGTCTTTTAATGGAAAGTTTGAAATACTCTTTTGTCTAGGCGGAAGTCTTCCTTATTGTTATAAAAATTAATTAAGATAACGAAAAATAAAGGATGTAGAAAAAGGGAAGAATTCAAAATAATGTTTTGGACAAGATAATATTCTTTTTTCTTTTTCCTCAAGTATAAATATAAAGTAAATATAAGCTAAGTATCTTATTATTACATAATTATATAAATTTTGTTAACATATTACAATCTTTTCTTTTACTCTATATTTGAATATCTAATGCAGTAAAAAAAGGAAAAAAAAGTTCAAACAGTAATTAGGGCCTGTATAGTTGTTTAAATTAGGCCTAATAGTATTAGTATTGGATAACAATTAATGCATTACTCTCAACATGGTTAACAATAAGTAAAAGATTTAAGAATTTTATATAGAACATTACATTGTATTAAAATGTATAGTTCATCCGAACTTAATTATATATTTTTTTTTAAGTCAGAAAAAAAAACAAACACTAAGGGGGGCTCCATATCGGTACATTAAGTAAAAGCCCTGCTTAAAGTGTCTCATGAGAATATATAGATAATGCATAGTATACAAGCTTATAACTCCATTCAGGAGCAGAACAAACACGGACGTATAAAGCATCAAAGATGAAATTGTCATGAAGGATGGAGCATTCCCTGCAGTACCGTCATGTAAGCCGGGAAAAAAAAATCCCGGAAAAATCCGTAGACAATTCAGTGTGTAAATAATGGCCTAAAACTTAGTATGCAAAACGTCGGTCAGCATTTGGCTTAATGATACATAAGAATTCCTATCAAGGTCATTGTATCGACCATACGACTTACGAAATGATGACTTCGACCGAGACTGTTGGCATTCTTGTTTCATCAATTTGATTGGCTATAGCTTGCCTTGTTTTAGAATTGTTCCTACGTAGGGCATGCTCTTGCACGAATCAAATTGAGAGACATAAACGCTATATGCAGGTGATAAAGGTAAATTGTTAAATAAGTATGGGAAGCTGACACTTAGTTTGATGAAGTCTTCATGTTTACCATAAAGAAATGTTGTTATATTACCATGAACGTGTTTTTCTATAGTAAAATAGCCAAATATGAAATAGATGTGTCAGACTCTGTGGTTTCTTCTTTCAAGATGACTCTAATACGACGAGTCGAAATATGAATGGAAGTAACCATTGTGAATTGATTATACGTTGTTTTAACATGTATATATATTTAGATGTCGAAGTCCATAGCAAAGGTTTTTTTCTTCTTGTGTATAAGATTTTGAATAAATGCTTTATATGAAAACAAAAATAGGTCTGGTAATAGCTAGTACCAATGGGAATTCTGGCATATTGTTAGAAGACCTAGTCTCCAAAATCTTTAGAGATATTGTCAATCAGAAACTTAAACACCTTTTTAATATCAGCTTCAAAGTATTTGTGTGTAAAGGAGTGTAGAGTGTTATTTACAAAATGATTTTGCAAATGACGAATGACAAGGTAAGTACATGTACTAGTATATTGCCAATCAGAAACTTAAACACCTTTTTAATATCAGCTTCAAAGTATTTGTGTGTAAAGGAGTGTAGAGTGTTATTTACAAAATGATTTTGCAAGTGACGAATGACAAGGTAAGTACATGTACTAGTATATTTACAAGTTCCATTTTTATTCAAAAAGCAGTTATCAACCTGATCAATGGTGACAAAAAGTCCGAACTTTAATTTATCGTGAGGTATGGTTGTATAAAGTGTTTAAAAAACATGCGTTTCGATATTTTTTTATTATGTAATATTTATAATTTCAATTTTTCTTAAAGTCTCTTGGAATTTTTGAGTATCCAAATCTTTTTTTTCATCAATGCTCAAGTACATTGTTACACAATACATGTACTCCTGAAATTTCCCCTCTACTACTCTTAATACCCCGGTAATTTAGTTAGGAGATAAGCAAGGACATAAAATATATACTGAGATATTTAAATATATATACGAAATAAACGAAACGAGGAATTTCATTTCAGAATTTGAAATTCTTTACGCACTTCGTTTAATGAACTAGTTGTTTCATCTTAAACCAAAAACGAATAGGTTTGAATGGGAAGGCATAAATGGTATACCGTGAGAAATAAGGAGATAACGAACAGTATTCAAGTTTAAAAGTCCATAAAACAATACAAAATAGGAGCGGAGCAAACACGGACCTCCAAAATATCAGAGGTGCATGGGGTCAGGTGCCATGGAGGAGTGAGTATCTCCTGTCGACCGTTCATACCTGCCTGTGCTCCTTGTCATTTTCCTGGGGAAAAATCCCGGAAAATCCCTGACAAACTCAGTAGGTAAAATGACCTAACAATCAGTATGAAAAAGTTATTTTTTTTCTATCAAATACATGTTTATGTCCGTCAGTATCGCTGGCTCTATATGATGTGTCATTTCTTGCTTTTACGGGCTGTACTTCAAAGATTTCCATTTATATCTGCCATCATATTCCTGCCGTGCTCATCCCAGATCTTCATCAGATTTGATTTTCAGAAGAATCACGAAACACTCTTAATCTTATCTCTAAACAACATGCGATATGCTATGCATGTAGTACGCAAGATACAAATAATCTCGAGGCAATTGTGGCGTAATAACTGTCGAAACTTTCGAAATGAATCAAGAGTGCGTGTGCGAAACTAAGTGATTATTTTATCTCTTAATAGATCAGATTAAGCCAGCAACTGAAGCCTTGGATCATTTCTTTCTTCGAGTGCTAATCCTTTTTGAACATATTGCAACAATATGATTCTTGACCTTGGAAGAGAGCATATTTGTTCAAGGCCGCGGGGAAGATACATGCAGTGGTAAAACTGTTGCAGGTTTAATACGTTTCAAATGATTTACCTGATCAATGAAGACGTTTGTCGTGAGAACTTGGTGTCTTTCGTCCTGTAATGTAAATCAGAATTATTTCTCAGCTTAATTTCTACAAAATAAACTTGCATTTTTTTTAAAAATACATTAACCTCTCACCACAATATATTAATCATTTAAAATTCTATCAATATACTGAATGGAATTCAAATATTTTAAACAAAGGTTTAAATCGAGACTCCTAATAATTTTTTAAATTAATAAATTAATAATTTAATGATAAGTTAACAATTCAGATACTGACCAGGTCGATGATTTGGTTAAGTTTAAGGCTGAATGTGACACTGAGTATTTTTGTGGCGTTAATCACTGGACGCACACTCTTCTCATACCCGAGCATTAGATCTTCGTAAAGTCGTTGTTCATCTGGTACTAGAACCGACGAAGCACCTTGAAATTAATAAACATGACGATGAAGACATGATGAATTACATTACTACATGTATTATGAAATATGGAGAAAGAAGAATAAAAAGTCGATAATATTAAGTTTGGTAAGTGTGGTAAATACGTTCACCACAACACCATACCCCCCTCAAGGCAAAAAAAAAAAGAAATAAGAAATACAAAACATCCATACTGGCGCTAAAATGAACCAAATTTATTAAAATTAATTAAATATACATTTTTCATTTTGTTCAATGTTTACAAATAGGATAACTCAAAATTTTTCAAAGTTGGAAGAAGTTCTTGAAAACAAACCAAGTGAATTGGGGATATACAACTTGAAAAATAAACAATTACACATTCAGGAAGGCAGATTCCTGCTGAGAAACAGGTTAATGCTCCGTTATCAAGAGGTATTAGGATAAATATTTCCCATCATTCAAGTTTCAGCTTATGGCATACGTACGCCTCTGAGAGAAAACTGACAGATATTTTGCAGAGCTTTTCCTCATTTTTAATTCCATCAAAATATTACTTTTGAAAATTCAGGCAATTATTTTTCAAATGCTTAAAAAATATTCCTACCTTTTAGCAAAACAAATGAAGTACATAACTTCAGCATTATTTGGTAAACCATGGCTCTCATTTTCTGAAAGAAAATAATAATTGATCATTTTTACTCATCAAAGTTCAAGGACACAGAATTTGGAAAGGATTTTCTTGTAATCTTCAAGAAAGAAGCACTTCTAAATTTTACGATTTTTGTCTCTGTAAGTGAAACTTGATGGTAAAATAAAAACTATGTATTCCAGTTCATTGTTACTAAATTTATACAGTAGATAATTACTTATTGTACATTATATACACAGTATATGGCACAGTTTACGAGTGTAAATTTTGAATCAATTTGGTCACTGTAGAGCAACACACACGTATGTACGTATTTATATAATGAACATTTACCCTATCATAATCAAGTGATTTCTCCTTTTTCTAGCATTTTTTGTGTTTTCAGACGAAGTGAACAAAGAAAATGAAGATTTATCCAACCTGTCGTTGCCTATTTGTAAAGTAGTTCCATGAAACTTTTTGATTGGTAAGTATTTTCAGCATGGGAACATTCAATAAAAACTAAGGTCCAATTTTGATCATCAAGCCTATCTGACATGGAACTCCCTAGATACTAGAGTGATTGATCAAACATCAAAAACTGACATACTGAAGGTATAATCGCAAATAGGTATCAATGAAGATAAACAGCAGACATAAGCAAAATTCATGAAATATTTTCTTTGCTACATGTATCGTACTTATATTCTTCAATACCCTAATACCTTTCAAACAACTTGATTGCACACTCTAACAAAATAAACTTCTGACTTTCAAAAAGATTTTTTTTAATATCATTATTTTGTAAGAATGAAATTTTCAAGCATCTTAATTTTGTGAGAATGAAATTTCTCTATAAATGTTGAAGTTACTATAGTAAATACTTACAAAAAAAAAATAAAGAATACCTTTTTTCGTTAGCCTTTTGTCTTCTTTAAATTCCTTTTCATCATTTCTTAAATTTCCTTTATTCCTTGAAACAGGCACCAGCTCAGACTGTTCTCAAAGTTCAGAGTCCTGTTAAATATTGAAATGGACGATTTGAAATAAGAGAAATATAACACAATCCATCCATATACATATGGTTTCGCTCGTGCTGTAACTTTGTTGGCGAAATGGAAACCAATTCCATCTAATCCTCCAAGAAGCAAAAACCTCAGTATTGAAGAGATAAGCTGCTTTGTAAATAATACACGCAAGGTTTACAACGAAAGCCAGTGATTTTGTAGAGCCAGATTCGAAACAGGTATTACTTTCAGGGGGAGGAGGAATCAAATGTTTGAAACCCTCTTTTTCGCAGATAATCGATGCTCTGACAGCTTCTAACGATGCTCAGCTGAAAGAAGGGGTTTAGTATTGATCTTAAGGGAGGTCAGATTTAACTCCACGTCTTCACTTTCCTTTATTAGCTCCACTGTATCGTTGTTCATGCAGTCTTTTAGCTGTCACACTATACAAAGAAAATCTCTTTAAACCAAATATGCACGATTGATACAAATGTAAAGTCTTATCAACACTTTTCATTAAATAATTCACTAATATTTGGCTATTAATTATCACATTTTTTGATAAAAGAAAACTGGCAAAGATTATAAAAGAATTTATGAAAAATAACTTTTCAAGACAAAATGTATTTTAAACACAATGAAAATTACTTCTTACCGTGTTAGATTTCCAGTACATTCTACAATAGGGCTCAAGTAACAAAGTCAATAAGATTTGTTGTATCATTATGAAGCTCACTCTGCGAACATTGTACTCCTGGCGATCGATTCTCTTCAACGAGAGAGGAACAATGAAACCCATTTTAATGACTGTGGTTCCATGCCTGTTACAACTTCTGCACCAACGGATTAGCATCAAAACTGGGCTATATTCACGATGATATCAAGTGAAAAGATTCAGAGTAATGTCAACTGACAATAGCTTCTTTTTTACGATCTTCTGCACAACATACTCAATTTGATTTTATTATAAAAAAGTACATAAGTATATGGGGGAAGCCCATAAACTTCTTGTTTAGTTCTACTCATTTTGTTACAGAGATGTTTTCATTGATAGTCAACAATATGTTTGCTAACAAAATGATCTTGACTTGTGTCTGAACGACGCCTGATCTTATATTGAAATTAAAAAAAAACGAATTAGGATATCTTCTTCTTAAATTTTAGACATATATTTTGTTACCTTTTGCTTTAGAAAAGTTAAATAAATTTTGATACCTTAACTTTGATTGTTTTGAAGGATCCAATGATTATATAATAAAACTTCCATTAGTTTAAATTACACAAAAATGACAAATAAAAAAAACTGAAGGTTATGTCTTTAATACATTATATTTATTTGCCGTTCCTCATACACAGATTAAAAGAAATAAAGGGTATTCTATATTTTAATGAAAAGGGGGACATATTAAACCACAAAACTATGACGACATTAAAAGATATATATTTCTTAAAGTCGCATTCAACATACTACACACAAATACTTGTTATGTTGAATCTGCTTTTTGATAGTTCATGTTTTGGTGGTGGATGTTTCTCACATTATGAAGGACTTTTCTATTTATTTTTCAATTTATTTTTTTTGCTCAGACAATTGATCAGTTGATCTTCATGATGAGGAGGGTTAGGAGAGTGTGTGTGATAAGAGGGACTGGCAACGATAAAATAAAAGAGATAAATTCATCATAAAAAGAAATCTCTTGCAATGGTTAATTGTCACCAATGATTTATCAGTGAACAATATTCAGTTACATTTCAAGACATCTAACCCTAACCCTTAGTCTGACACATCTGTTTCATTTGTATTACTTGAGAAAGATATACTAGTACATGGAAAAGTGAAAGCTTAATTTTATGACAAACGTGATGATTTTAATTTACCTATTGTCAATATTCTTTATTTATGTAACAATATACCAATTTCACCTGCATTTGAACTTTATGCATCCCAGAAAATTCAATATGCTGGAGCATGTTCTATTTCTAAAGCGAGACAGACAAATTGGTAAATACTAGCTAGTTAGTGATACAGGGATACCAACACTCTCGTTTAAAGCCAAGATTTTGCATATTCTATGGTCGATAGAATGATTTTGTACGCAAATACAATCTGTAAAATCAAATATTGACAGTCGTCTTTCGTACAAACTGTTAAGCCATTATTATCAAACTGAATTGTATACAGATTTCTCCAATAAACCGATATCATGACAAAAAGCACATTTGAGGGCAGGTGAGTCGGATCGCGAAAGATGCTTACTCCTGCCTGGCACCTGATCCCACCTCTGTTTTAAGAGGTGCATGTTTGCTTTGTTTGAAATTTGTATTGTTTAAATGATATGAAAATAAACACGGTTCGGTATATATTTTCACATTTCACGGAATTGTATTATTATTGTGAAAACAATGAAAATGTATTGGGGGATCGGCTAAATTGGGCTCGATTATTTTCCAGCTGAAACTTTCTGGGCTCATATGTTAAAATGCTTCTTTTTTGCACATTTGCTTTGCTTAGCATCTTTTTTAAAAATCGGATTTTGGGTTTAACCCGGAAATAGATTGAAAACAATCGAAATATATAAATGTAAGTATGCTTCACAAGTGTTTTTCTATTCATGTACATGTACCAAACACTTAATTTATCATAAACAAGAGGCCTTATCCGTGGAAACGTTTAGATACTTTTAAATATACTTCATAAAAATGAATGAAAATGTGAGAAAAAGAACATTTTGCGATTGCTGTGAAACAATATATAATGAAACTATTTTCATCTCAAATAAAGAGACGGTTTTGCAATTGTTGATTTTCCTTTGGATTCTAAAAGAGCACTTGCTCTAGAGATTAAAAGAAAAACTTTAAAAGGATCTTGATTTTCTAATTATAAAAGTTTATTTTAAAAGGACAGTAATATACGTTTTCGAAAAAATTAAAAATAATTACAAGACATCCAGCACACAGTTGGTACGTAACACATTAACTAAAAGTAATAAATTCATTATCCGCATTATATTCTTCTAGAGTTATCGGAGTCTTTTTTTTTATTCCAGGTCAACCTGAAATATATTTCCCAGCCATAAAGGTCTCTCAGATATACAGTGATGTAGTGAAAATAGAATGCTCATTCACAAAGTACATGTATATTGAAAAACACTTGTCCAGAGAATATGAGTAATTATTTAACCAAAGATTTGTTTTCTTAAGTTTGAAAAGTAAGGAAACTGTTCAACGTGATGCACTTTTAACTTTCTTGTAACTTTTATTAATGTGCCACGGGTGACACGTATTAATTTTGCAATTACGTCATATATTATCATTTTTTTAACCGTTCACATTCTTAAATTTTTAAAACGTGTGCTTTACTACTTAAAATAATGTATTTATTCACCTAGCGGTGTGAAGCTGGCTTTCAGAAAATTCTCTCATTCCTCCTACGGTTGGAGTTTCCGCAGAAATGACGTCACATCCTGGTCGTTTTAATCGGATGCAAGGAACAGAGTATAGTAAAGTATAGTATAATATCCTAAAGACGTCGTATTGATTACACTCAGAAACAAGGTAAGGTTTGTTTTTTTTTATTAACTTAAAATATTTATTACATACATGTTATGTACAATATTTGATAAAGGATGTGCACTAAATAACTATTTTACCGAAATGGGACAAAAAGAGGGTCACAAAACTGGGTCACATCCCAAAAATACTGAATTTCTTCTTCGATATTTAATGAATTAAAAAAATACAAGCAATAATAGAAAAATGAAACTGTTACATTATAGTGGTACACAGCAGAATAATTATGGAGATAACGAACAGTAATCATGCAGATACTATAAACCTCTAAAAAACTATATGATACAATATAAACTTCGGAATTTTCCCTCGTCAAATAACATATGCTAATTTGTAAACTTAATTCTAAATTCAAAACTGGCTTCTAAAAGAAAAGTTTTTTCAAGTAAAATAAAATTTATTGATTTTTTTTTTTGTTTGAGGTGTTAAAACAGCAACATTTTCCAATATATATAGATACATTGAAATAAAATCATAATATAAGTATTATTTCAATGAGAATCTGTATGGTTTGTTAGTAAATAATCTTTTGTAACATCAGTATGATATAAATGACTGACAGTGGTACATTTATCCGCTGGTGATACTTAGATGTGCATGAATGATCTGTATTTATTATATTGTGTTATGGGGATAAAGAAGGACTTCCGTGTCTGTGAAGGCACGTCACTTCATCATTCAATCGGATGTTGTTATAGTCGTGTATCTACTGTACGTCTCTCTCACTCAAACCTCACGCTACACTTCAGTCTTGTCTTTGCAAAGTGTCCATAACAGAACCGATTAGAGAGGTAAATCATGCTGTTAGAGCAGCATTCTGAAGGATTGTGTAGTTTTCGCACTACTTTTAGATGATAATCATCTTTAATTTCAAATAGATGAATATCTACTTGAAGTGGTTCATTTTATTTCCTATTATTACCGTTCTCATACTGTTATTGGATAAACAATAACAATGGTTAAATATTTATCTAATGGAGGAGAATGCAATAGTCTGCAGTGCAGATTTGTAAATTACTCATTTCAGTGACTATGCCTTACTTTTAAAAAAAAATTGAAGAAAGTAAATATGTAACTTGTCTTCCATGAAAAATTTTAATTTCTATAAATAAACATACTTATTATGCTTTGTTTTCTAACAAGTCTGAAGTTGATAAATACAAATAAATATGCTACAAAATCTTCTCAAGAGTTTTTCTGCGATGATAAGTCATGGTAATAATCTAAGCATACTGAATAGTCCAAATTCATGGAGAGAAGGAGGGGCCAACAATAGAGAATCAATGTTCTGATTTAAACATATTTTATTGAACACAATCAATGGGATTGGACACAAGTTATACCAACTTAGATTGTCCTCTCCATCATAAACAAAATAACAAAACTATAAAAGTTTAATATTATTATGTATAGTAATGTTATTATTATTAACAAAATTATCAAAGTTTAATATTAAAATGTATAGGATAATTATTAAAACATCTTTTTCCATAAGTAATGCAAGCATCTCCAGGTAATGCAGATATAAATGACCCTCTGTGAGAGAGTGTCTTAAAATATGAAATTAAAGTATCACATATACTATAGCTTATTATAATCTAGTGTCGCTCAACTACACGCATAGCACGACGATGAACATCAAATTTTTTTCAAATCATGGCACCGGTTTAACGGTGGCCCCAAGACACCATTTTCCGATATATATAATATTCTTATCAATGAAAGTTATATGACTTTATATTTGATATACAGTGTAAATTTAAAAAAAAAAGGGAATTGAACTCGAAATGTCAATGTCATCAATTCCCTGCAAGCAAAGAAGGCTGCTTTGCCGACAGCATCATTTAATGCTTTTTAATTATATATGGTCATCTTTTTAAAGTAACGTCTTTTACATTTTACAATATATATTCCACAAGACCAGACTTTTCTTTCGGTACCAACTTTTTGTTTTACTTTTTGACCTTGGTGTTTGATCTGTGTTTGAAAATCTTGAAACTTGCCGTAACTTTTAAAGTTAGAGCTATGGCTTTCATATTTCACCCATGTTTTTTTCTTGAGACAAGATATTTCCTTTAGTAACAATAGTTTTATCCCAAGTCCTTGACCTTAAAATAGGACCTTTACTTAAAAAAAAAAACATATCCTTTGCCAATGAAATTTAATTAGTCAGTCCTTTCTTTTGGTTTCGACATTTTTAAACAAATTTTAATTGTCATATTGGAATTTGACTTTTACTCTTTAAAAACCTTAATTTGCTATACGGGGAAATCAAGGTTTAACAAAGACTCAATTCTCGTGGAATTTGTGGGTACTCTTCATCCAAAAAATTACATCACCACAAATTAAAATACAAGTGATTCAAAGTCATTTTGTATATATGATTAAATAGGAGAAATTACGCCCCACATGTAGGTGGAGCTAAATTAAAGAGTACATATATATATTTATATATATTCGGAGGTCGAGAATCAAGGAAATCCAAAATTATATTGATGAAAAAACAATTAGTCAAAATCACGCAATCCACGTAAAATTTTGATGATTCCACAGTTTATACAATCAAATTGAAATTGTATTCATCGAGAAAAGTCTGAATCCTCATATCATCCTAAACATGTAAAGTAACTATGTATTCATGTTTTATTTTTTTTTTCTGATATTAGTTTGTTTGTGTATTTGTGTGTAGTTTAGAAACAAACAAAAATTGACGATCTTTTGTAACGTAGTGCAAATCCAAATTAATTCAAATTAAGTTTAAAGAGATAACGAATAGTAACCACGCTCAAAAGTCCATTAAAAAATGAAAATAAAGAGCAAAGCAAACATGGATCTTTAAATCATCAGAGGGTGGGATTAGGTGCCATGGAGGAGTGAACATCCTCTGCCGACCGTGAGCTCCTTGTTATGATCAGGAAAAAAAGTTAATTCAAGGAGCACATAAAATTAAGGGGAGGGAGGGTTTTGCGTCTGCTTCGTTCAATTTACAGATTCAAAAGGAATATTCTAGAAGACATGCGCATACAAGAAATATCAATTTTTTAATGATTTATGACGTTCAATGTTAAGAAACTAAGAGTTAACGGCGGGTGTGACCGGTCAGCAGGGGATGCTCACTCCTCCATGGCACCTGCTACCACCTCTGATGTTTTAGAGGTCCATGTTTGCTCCGCTCCAGTTTTGTATTGTTTTATGGACTTTGATATTGAATAATGTTCGTTATCTCCATATCCTTCATTCAGTGTGTAAATAATGAACTGTTTAACAAGTACATGTAGTTTGAAAAACGTCAGTCGACATTTGATTCAATGGTTGGTATGTATTTGCTGACTAATTCATTGCATCGACCAAAAAATCTTGCAAAATGATGACTTCAAACGAGACTGTTGATATCCTCGTTTCATTCAAACCATGGTGTCAAGGTTAAGGCTTGGTCACCATAACGAAAAATGTTCACAGGGAATATTTATGGAAAAAAATCCTTAATTCACTCTTCAAAATAAAAAGTAACAATTTATATATTACATGAATATATAAGCATCACAATATAGTGGGGCTAGGCGGAGCTAAACTAAAAAGTACATGTATACGTACATTCGGAGGTCGAGAATCAAGGAAATCCAAAATTATATTGATGAAAAAACAGTGCCCTGTCCTTATGATTTGTTCAACATATGGACACTGTGGGTAAAGTGGGGTTAAAATTGGGGATCAAATTGACGACAGTATTTACATATTTTGTCATGTATATAAAGAAAATCCATAAATTTGAATTCATGTTTGGTTAAAAAAACTTATTAAATGTATACATTGTAGAATTTAGAAAGCATGTTGGTGCAAGATTCTGCATGGTGTTAAAACTAATTCAAAAAATATTTCCAATCTTATGCAACCAAGTAATTGTAATTTAACCTTATTAAAAAGTTTATTTCCAAAATTTGAAAAGCATGTTGGCTTTTTCATAAACCATGATTGACCTTATAAGTCGTAACTCCGAGGGACTTGAATTGAATCCACAATATTGGATGAACATTTTTCAAGGAGATAACGTAGGAAAATCTACTAAAACAATCTCTATAGGACAGCAGTGACATAGTAAGTCTCTTGTTAATAAATATATTGTACATAAAAAGCAAATTTGACTCAACAGCAGCAAACATTTATTTTCTCCGAAATTAAGAAAATATGTTATTACTTTCGGAGAACTGTATCCTTTTAAATCTATTTTTTATTTAGTTTGTGGGTAAAATATACTCTTGCGGAAGTTCATGCACATGCACGTTTAAGGACGCACTAAGAATACACTATGGGGAAGCAAATATTAATGTAGAACACATTCATTGTCTAGTAAAAAGAGCAAGCCTAAGGAAATATTTGTATGTAAATAGAAAGTACATACACTAAAAGGTAAAGTAAGATCTACTTGAATATTTTGCATTAATATTGAGATGTTATTCATTTTGCATTTGGTTTTTGTATATGCTTCCAATTTCATTTTGTACATGTACGTATTAACAGGAACATAAAACTAGTACTACTTTGTTAACTAAAGGTTCTAAATCTCCAGAAACGTAAAGTTTCATTAAAAATTTAGCGTTTTAAAATATGAATTGTTGTAAATTATAAATAATCATAGAACTTAGAGCTTAATATTGATGTTTTGTTAGGAAAGATCCACATCTCGGATTGTGCTATTCCCCTTTTTGAACCTGCTTTATTTTATGTGTTTATCGGCAACAGTGATCAAAGAACGAAGAGGGGTGCGGTTGCCAATTCCGCCTGTAGTCTTAAGATAATATAAAGAATCAATTTGAAAGTGGTTGAACACGGAAATAGTTGGTCAAACTGTCTTAATTCAAACGCTTTCATTATATGTATCGCTAAATTGTTTAAATTCTAAAACAACATCTCTTCTAATGATTTCATTCCATGTTATCTACAGTGTCCTTCAAGTCTAACCTTATCAATTTATTTGCGTTTTCATCATCCCAGAACTAATTATTTTTCCAGATAACCGGGTTGTCCATAAAAAATCAATAAAAAGTGAGATTTTGAATAAAATATGCTTCATGGGTAAATAAAACATATCTACTAACAAGGGAACACCATTATATTGGTAAAAGCAGTATTCAAACAGTTTTTGGAGGACCTGGTCAGTTTTAAGTGTTGGATTCCTTCCCTGTTGGAGATTTACGGGGGGGGGGGGGGTAATGTCAGAATAATCAGGAGATATATAGAAGGTAAAAATCCCGGGCCTCAGTCCTTTTATGTACTAGTATAACCCAGCAGAAAACAAAGGAACATAATATGAGAACACACAAACATACTTTATAGCAGAGACATATAATATTCTATTATATGTCTCTGTTTATAGCAAGTGCCCGTTTTCTGAAGTTGTATGGTTTTTTTATGATACAGTACTTGTAAATTACTTGTTCTCTTTATTTTGACAATTATACTTCCTCGTGGTATCATGTAGACATGGTTTTCATGCCAACTATATATACATTTCTAAAAAACACACATGCATGTCATAAAAAAAAACTTTCCTTTCTAGTTTTTATTTATTTTAGATTGAAACAAAAATCAATTGCCTTAAAATAGCTGGCCTTATAATAAGAACAAATTATTTAAACATGTAAATCAGAAAGCAAAACAAATTATATAAATAAAAACATGCAACATTAACATGAATTCTCATGACTAGGTCAACAGGATAACAAATATTTACATTAAGGCGTACGACCTGATTATTAAACTATTTAAAATTTTGAAATATAAATCCTTTAAAAGCATATTTCAACAAAATAATTTAGAACAAGTACATAATTTACTTTCAGTCTTTAAAGTGGATTTTCTGCACAGTGTAAATGTTTAAAGATCAAGTTGTCGCCCCAGATTTCAACATAACACTTTTCAACACAGATATATGCAACTTCCTCTTCATGATTCATTTCATTTTTGTTTTGTTTATTTATTTCAAGAAAAAACAGAGAAAGTCTTACACTAAGATTAATTATTATTTGTTTAACAGGATAAAGGAGATTGTACGGAGTTTATGGCGACCGACGACCGTAAGTAGTTTCACCTTCACATAGATACTTTATTATGTCTTAGTCTATCATAGTTTATCATATAACTTCTCTTGTCTTTGAACTACCCGAAGGAAAATTTTATGTATTGCAAAGGAAACACAAGCTAACAAAAATTCTGTTTGAAATGTGGTTTTTTTGTTAGTTATCACTTTTTTCTCAAGATCTAAAGAAAGTAAAAGATACTGAGCATATTAAAACAGGAAAAGCTTATCATGTACCGCCGAAAACCTGTATCCGTTTAGAAATAAACTGTGAATATCCTCCAAGTTATATCATATTTCAATCGTCCATAGGACACTGTTCACTGTTGTTTACAAAGGCTCTTTCAGCATATTTGATTGTTCTTGTGACATTATACCATTATATTAAATTAGTATCTTTTCAATCAACTACCAATGTATTTAACAAAATACGACTTTGAAAAATTAAAGAACTATATCAGAATTTTTGTTAATGGTATTGTTTTACAGTATCTTGGTCTTAGCATTGTGCATTTTTTAATTTTTAAAGACAAAGTTTTCGTGTTTTTCCTCTTAAAATCTATTCACATAATGAATACAAAATACATCATGAATTGGAAGATTTGATTATTTCAGGGTTTGGAGTTGCCGCCCCTGATTTACGTGGCTACACAGTTCGTGGTTTCTTAGATAAGAAGAGACCAAGTAAGTGGAAAATATATGTGTACTTACATATAAATGTAAGAACCTTCTGAAGTTGATAATTAAATGAAAAGGATGCTGGCGTTCCTCACTGACAATTTTAGACCAGTTCTTCCTACAAATACGCTTCTTGCTGTTGTGTTTCTTTAATAACAAACTCAGTGACTACAAAGTTTCACATCAACTTTTCTTATAGATATAGTTATATTTCATTGTCATCTGCATTTGGGGATTAAGCCTCTTGACTTATTCTGTGAAATATTGCGTTTTAAGCACTGGTCAAAGATTCGACTTGAGTGTTGATCACTGTTCGTTAATATCCTTGCATTTTTAATTTTTTGTTGAAGACTTTTTTGAAAAAAAAGGTAATTAAAAGATTTATGAAAAAGTAAAAAATGTTTGTTTAATGACCATTTCAAATTCAATGCTGCAATAATTATCAAAAGACACTTTTGTTTACTATAGGCAAGAAACTTTTGTCAGTTAAATACCAGAGACGATGGTGTGTCCTGCACGACTCAACCCTGTATTACTTTTTTGACCCCAGGGACAGGAGACAAAAAGGATCCTTCTCATTAATAGGTAAGTTATGGAATTAAACTAAGAACTTTAAAACATAACAATAAGGATAACTTGACTAATTTTGACCTTTCCTATACGGAAACTCTTAAAATTAAAACTCGAGATTGAAAACAACGAATATAAATTGAAAAAAGTTGACTTTCAATACATTTGATTTCTGATCATTAATTATTGTAGGTTACAAATTTTGGCATGGAGGGACAGAAAACTCTTTTTCGCTGGTAGCAAGCGGGAAAAGAACGTATGATGTAGGAAAGACAAATCTTTTTATCCTGTACTGATTCTATATCCGCCTTCGAAAAGAAAAAAAAAATTATTTAAGACTGATTCCTTCTTTATTAAGCTCTTCTTAAAGATGAGTAATTTAATTTTTTTAATTTCTCATACGATGAACGAATCACGTAGATAGAGAATGACTTTAGAAAAATTGAATGTAATTTTGTGTTTCAAAGAATATTGTAGATGATTTTTACATTTTTTTAAATTTTAGTTCATATGTCCAACGAGTGAAGACTTTGAAAAATGGAAAGCTGGTATTCTAGCAGTTACAGAAAATGTCCGTAAGTTATAATTCTATACAATTCAATTACATGTATTTGTGTTGATGTATTTTGATATGCTGGCAAGTCACAACTTGTCTTATCGAGTTTATAATCATATTCTAGTAAAGAAGGTGATCATGTTATTTTTTTTCCGAAAAATGTTTTTTGAGAGTGTTCTGGATTAATTTTTCACTCACGTTGTTACTTTGGCACGGAGATTTGCTAGTTTTGCATAATTCATTCATTTTGAATTGATACATGTATTTTAAATTTAAAAAATATATAAATTTTATTTCTCTTTAATTTTGAAAGCTCTCGGACACGAGGTATTTGTAAACAAAAAGTCGATGCACAATAATACCTCATCGCCTTCTGCTACCAAAAGGACTGTAATAAAAAGAACGTTATCACGTGAAAGTTCTAGTGACAGTACAGACAACATGGAGATCCCTCCTTCACGACCCCCTCCTGTGACAAGACCCCCAAAGAGACCACCGATGCCCCCGATACCAAAAACAGGTAAAAATCATCAAAATCAGGGACCTTTAAAGTATATAGGTCCTTGACAAATAAAAATTAATGAGTAGTATATATTCAACACCAAAAATATTTTTTAACTTCCTCTTCAGGGAAAACCCCAGTTACAAAGAAGCAGTCGGAGCCTACAAAAGACGTATATGCTGCCGTGAATAAGTCCCAGTTAAGCCGATCGAATACAGCTATTCCTGTTACCAAACCCCAAACAAATGGTCAGTTTTCAAGTAGTCAGGAGGGTTCATTCTTAACATCCATATACAGAATTTTTATTAACAAATAATAATAATAATAATAATAATATTAATAATAATACTTCATTGTGTTTTAAGAAATAACATTCTTCCCATATTCAATATGGTCACCGATAGCAGACATGATCACAAGATTGTGTTTTCATGACACAGTATACATCCAATAGTATAAACGCACCACATGCTTTGTATATGCTATAATAAGCTGTAATAAGCTGAAAGCACATGAATTTTACTTTTAAAAAGGGCTGCTGAAAAAAAAAATCAACATTAAAGTGATATTTGGCAAGAAATTAAATTTTAAGTGTCCTATGACCTTTTTGGTTCCTAGTTCAAGGATGATAAGCTTTTGAAAATAACATAAAATACTGCTTTAAAATATTTTCGATGAAAAAGCAAAATCTAGACCAAATATGAGCGGGAAATGAGCATAATCAATATACAAACCAGTGTGTTATTTAAGGTTAAAACATACATGTACATGTATGTCTAACTAAAAACACCAAAACGCAGTCTTAATCTTATTAAATGTATACATATATAGATGAAACGAATGTAATTACAGGGGTTTTATTTACAGTTTCTTCTTACAAAGAAACCTTTACATGTCTTTTATAAAGATTCGTTTAACGACGTTCGATCCTGATATTTAAAGTCTTAAACTTTTTTTGCCAAGTGTATTTTTAGTTTCTACATACATAGCTTAATAAAAATTCAATTCAAAAAATGGGGGTCAGTACGCTTCTTTTGGCGCTACAGTACATGTATATCTAATATGACCTTTTTGCACTGAAATTTATGACTTAATTAAAAATTAAATTAAATTTTTGACGTTTCCTTCCAATATTTTTATCCAATTAAAGCATGAAACAAAATGAACTCTAAGTTTGTTTATAAAAAGACACTTAAAAATTGTGACTAAGAAAAAGTTTCAAATTGCTTCGCATAATCAATTATTTGACCTTTCTGCACTGATAAAAAGTGATTTTTCTGGCATTGAAAATTTAATAAGCAAGAAAATTATTTTAAAGTCTTAAACTTTTTCTGATTTTAAGCAAATAGGTCAAATTTATCTTGAATATTTAGAAAAGAACATCAAAAGTGGGGGTATATGATGTAAATTTTTAGATATTACTAAAAAGGTGTCAATTTTACCTTAAAATTGGCTCAATTTTTTCCCGGATTTTCTGAATATATTTACTACGTTTGTCACATTTTGTTGATAGAATTCGTAAGAAATAATTAGATAGATATTTCAGAAAGAGCATAACACATTTCACTGCAAAAAACAGTTTTGTTTGCAACCAGGATGGAAAAATAGGAATCCAAAATTAACAGTACTGTTATAGTTCAAAATGGAAAAACTGATCATATTCGTCTAAAAAACCTTCCGCCACAAAATATAGTCCCTAGCTTAATTCTACTTGAATGGAATTTTCTCGCGTTTTTTTCATTGAATATAGTTGAATTTGCACCGTAGAATTCAAATTTAATGTTAGAACTTAAAAATGATGCAGAATTTTATAAATAATTAAAGGACCTGACCAAAATACGCTCAAAATCTCAGGATCGAACGTCCTTAATTCTTTAATCTCTTACTGAGTAATGAACGTAGAATTATCTATTTGTTCACAAACAGATGACCTTGATGATTATGACGTGATAGGAAATCACATGCTACAAAGTAACGTCAGTAAGTTAATTTAAATATTGAAAACTAAGTCTGCTGGAGAGACATATTAATTTATTAATAATGTATTGATCTGTCTCATATGAATAGATTCGAACATTGGTATTGCTTATCACCTTGGCAATACACCGAACAGTAAATGTTTTGACTTTTTAGCTGTTCTTGTAAGACTTGAATGCTGTTCGTTATGTCCATATCCTTGATTGTTCACTAGCCTTACTTGGACTTCAAACTAAAATGATGTGTTCAAAAATTGAATAACATAATATATAAATAATTTTGCAACTGTCCTTCAAGCGATATGCAAATAGATGGAGCAAACCATAGGAATTTAAGTTTGCTTGTGTAATATCCTGGTAGAATATTGGTTTATACGATATATATCATAGTTTCTTTTTAAATCTTATCTCTTACACTGAAAACACTTTTATTTATTATGCTCAGACAAAGATGATCTTGACGATTATGACGTGGTAGATAAGCATTTGAAACACAGTGACATGAGTAAGTTAGTTTAGATAATGAAAAGTGTAGACCGCTTTAATTTGTGAATTAGAAAAACTTCAATAATGTTAAGTTCTTGCCAATACTGACGAGATTTTTGCACTGAAGGCACGGACTCTGAGGATGAGATTTATGATCGGGCTCGGGACCCACCAGAACCAGTGTATTCTTTTGCTAGGCAGCACAGCACACAATCTGTGTCCTCGTCAGGTAACGGCCTGTGAGAACACTATAGTCTGCTATTTTAGCTTTTATATATACCTGCTTCGCTTTCCAAGCTTCATTTACATTTGCCTAAATATGGAATGGTGCACAAGTTTGTGAAATCGCAGATGTCATATTCTGCAGTATATGTGTATTTACTATTAGTTGGTTCCGCATTGGTGTTTGGACAGAGAAATACATTCTATATATTCTGGATTAAATAAACCAATTTAGGGGACCAAATTAAGATAAACCAAATTAAGGGACTGCTGCCATCTTTGGAATATGAATGTGACTTTTGACTTGATTGTGAAATAATTTTACTTTGGAACCCACTCGAGGATTTAAAACTAAACATCTAAAAATACATGCACCTTTAGTTTTGATATATTACGTTATTGTCTTAAATAAGCTTGAAACCGAAATTAAAACATTAAACTTCCGAAAATCCAGCAGGCAAACCTCTTACAATTTTTGCTACTAAGGCACCTGTTCTTCAAAATATGTTTTACTTTTTTATTAATATAATGCCATGCAAAAGCAGTCAGTGCATAGTTAAAAATTATCAATTGTTTGCTGTAGAAAATAACTAATATTATTGCCTAACAAATCTTCTTTGAAAATTGACTGAATAGTCAATTTTTTCTAAGATTAATTTTAAACCATGGCAAGCTACTGACAAAAAAGTTCATATTACAAGGATTTCAAAACTACATTTGTATTTTTTGTTTGTTGATTGCATGAAAAGAACCTTTATATCTGATGATGTACAATGTATTGCACATTTTTATTATGAACTCTATATTTCTTTTGAGAAAATATAATGATCCTTCTGAAAGGCCTTTGGGTCTAATCTTTCTGAAATTATTTTTTTTCTTCAATAATTAGTTGTAGCCCTGTATAAGTATCTATCTTATATTATGAATATTATTCATCTGATATAAATAAGAATTATGTGTTCATTAAAAATGATTTCATACCCATTTATAAATTATGGCATGGCTCTGTACATAATTTGCATCTAATAATAAGTTAATGATAGTTTTTAAAGTAGTAGCTAAAACATATTCAATGTAATTCAAATCCAAGGTTTATAGAATGCCACCCTCCGAGTACACTGTTTTGAACTTTTTTAAGCATGCCTACAGATTTACATTTATTCAAGTAATATTGCGAACAATATTACACCTCGTGATTCAAATGAATTCCATTTTCATACTGTATGAAAATTATTTTTCCCAAAATATTGAAATTCAATATTTGTATAACTATGATTTAGTTTTAGTGATTTAAAAAATCACATGCATGCAATAAGTATACTAGTAATTCATTCTAAAATTGACTTAGGCCCAAAGTAAACAAGCATAATATATAACAAAGGCCATTTTTCTTTATTATGCGTGTTTACTTCGTAGTATCAAATTAATGTATATACCCAGTACTTGTAATTATGATTAAAAAACTATTAACAAATTTGAAAAATGTGCTTATTGAAATAAATGTTTTCTTCAGTATGTAAACAAAAAATTCAGATATTACAATATTTTATATTACCAGATTCTGAGGTGGACTATGCCCGGGTAAATCCACGCAGTTCAGATTTAGATGACTACGCAAGTACCACTGAGATCCAAATGCTTCGGCGAACCTCCTCTAGTTATGACAAACCCTACGAAATCGAAAATCTGAAAAAGGAATCCGATTTTGAAAATTCTAGTAAAAATATTTCTTTTATAAAAATGAGTATATTGATATGTTCTGAAAAAATTATATAAGTGATTCATACTAGTATTATATTCATTATGTTTTCTTCTTCAGATGAAGAATCCTACCTTACCAGTGCTGATTTGCACGGTCAAAAGAGTTCTAATAAGTCCTCAACTAAACAAATGGAGTCGAACATTGCATCACTGTTGGGCCTCAAACTTAAGGGTGAAAAGCAAACAATATCATGTGACGCAGACTTAGATACATACGTGGAATTCGTTGCAGAAGGTGCGAAACAAGATCCTTCACCTAAAAACAGATCAAAAAAGAAGCGTGATGAGTCAGTCTTGAATAGTGTTCCAGAGGATCCTTACATGGAATTTATTGGTGAGGGGGGACTATGTGATGGGGCAGGGGGACAGGTTGATGATGAGGGGGGACGGGGACTAGGTGAAGAAGAGGAGGATGACGACGCTTTCCAGTCAGAAGACTCTGCTACAGATAGTGACATTGTACAGACCAAAAACACAAAGAACGAAACCAAACCGAAGAAACCATTGTCTCATATTCATTCATTACAGTTGGAATTAAACAGCAAACTTGCTCAACGTTTAAAGGGAGCAAGAGAAATCACATCGCCAGATAAAGAGTCCAATCTGTCTGAAGAGGATGAACCTTTGTATCAAAACTTTTTACAGATAAACTCTTTGGAGACGCGGAGTCTCCCACGTGACATTCTGCCTGCTTCCCCGCCATTACTGTTACACAAACGGAAACAGTCAAGTTTTGAATCCAGCAGTGACAGTTCTAGTGAAGAAGAATTCACCCAATGTGTTTCCATGTCTCACTAACGTATAAAACAAAACTTAACTCATTAAAATGAAATGAAGCCGAATGTAAAAGGATGCAATATAATTATAGTATTTACTAATAACATATATTAAATCGTCCAAAAACTATATACATGTACACATACTTTCATTTACTGGAAAACATTTTAAGAAATCCTAATCCAGACCGTCTAATTGACATATGACGACATTAAGGAATTGATTTTACATCAGATTCACATGTTAAAATTTATCCACTCAAAATTTTGTTATTAGCTGCAGATCTGTAGCTCGCAGGTCTGAAAAAATAGGATGGACATTGAACGAAAGGGCTACAGTGTCACACATTGAAAAAAATGTATATTTATTGCGCACGGAATAGTGCGCCGTATTCTCTCTTTTGTACAATTCTCTGTTATCCTTGGACTTTCAGCAAGGCGTGGCATTCTCGACGCTACGTAATTAACGTCTTTCAAATGGCGAATAGATTTTCATTGATTAAAAATAAAATTAATAACATCAGCAACTTTTAAATGTTGTTGACAACGATGAGAAGACTTAAGCCCCACCTGTTTGCCCTACGAAACGTTGTAATTGGATAATTGCTACACTCGTTCACACTCGCCCGAAGTTTTCAAGAGTGAATGAAAGGCTGTTAAAATTTCAGACGTTAATCATGTAACGTCGAGAATACCAGGCCTTACTGAAAGTCCAAGGATAACAGAGAATTGTACTATTTCTCCGTGTAGTCATGCTGCCATCTCACAATTTTACTAATCGTGTGTTTCTATTACAAAACACTTCCAAAAACCGTTGTTAATAGCCCAAGTGGGTCTGAAAGTGAGATCATCGAAAATTTCATCTATTAACGCTGCCATATTAGGTGTTAAGATAATTCAGTTCAATGTTCTTCGTGCATGACTTTTATAATTAAGTTTAACTTTACATGCAGTTTTGTTGTGGAAGTAGTAAAATAATATGTAAGAAACACATTGTTAGTAATATTTTGAAATATACGGTGAAAAAATCGAGAAATGGCGCACTTTTTGTGCGCAATAAATATACACTTTTTTCAATGGGTGGCACTGTACCTCTCTGGTCATGCATCTCAGCGAGCCACATATCTGCTGCTATTTTGTTATAGAAATGAACATTTTTTAAGAGTTGTCTCTCTTAAAGCAGTGTCTAGAATGGAAAAGGGTCATATGTCAGAGAATTGCTGAATGAATGAATGAAAAAAATATCTTTTCAGAAGGTGTGGCAATGAAGGTGTACTTATGTTATCAGGTAATTGTGAGACGATAAGGTTTCCTTTGAAGCATTGTAACATAATTAAGACCATAGAATGGCAATCAAAAACCTTACAAATATATACTAATTCAGTGGAGATTTAAATTATACATTAGGTATGATACACCTACATGTATGTATCTCTTGTCGTTGTAGTTTTTCATTCACTTATTTCTCAGATCACTAATTTAAATCATTTGTTATGTACAATCAATGGATTGATATAATCAGCTAGCTGATGCATGCAAAAAACAAGGTAGAACTTAATTTAAAACTTTAATGGGACTTCGTTATCTTTTCAATAAGTGACGAATAAGGCTAAAAAGGAATGCTCCCACATAAATGCCAACTACCCAGCAAAATTAAAACAAGAACAATACTAGTATTCCTTTCTTCTTGTGTTTATTTCGTTGAAGTTGAGTTATGCACAATGGACAGGTATTACTCAAAGTTTTCGACCAAATTCAGTGAGCATTATAATTTTTTGTATAATGTTTAAGTTGTCAATTTCATCCTAATCTTTAAACTGACGACTTGTGAAAGCTTACCAAAAAATAAAAATCTGTAATTCTCAACGCTTGTATAAGAATATACAACAACGAAACATAGAATAGGATTTAATCATGGAGTTTGCTTATACAGTGTACTTTAAAAAATTTATAAAGACATAAATATGACATCATTCAAATTTGTTATGAAAGATACCCTATATACTACTAGGTTAGATAATTCAATAAAATAAAAAGGTTTATCTAATCTTACTTGATATCCAGGACGACTGCAGAACATTTTAAGGTAAACACGGAGAGATAATAATTTTGTTCTTCATAATTTTGCAGACACTTGGGAACATTTTCTGGTTTTATATTTTGGATGGTCGTAATGTTCGTGTTCAGGACTTGCTGTATTTCACACCACGTCACACACCTCTATCTCTTTACCTAAAACAAATTTCGTGTTATCAATTAATTTGTTATCTATTACACTCGTTTATCATATTTAAAGAAAATTGAACCTGAATCATATCCTTGAATTATATTGGATAACATTAACACTTGCAACATCTCTTTTAACTATAATACATTATAAACATTTGCAAATCAAAACAAACAAAAATGACACACTCAGATAAAAACTTATCTGTATATCAAAACAGAAAAAACGACCCATTTAAGTATAACTTTATGTTATCATAAATAAATACCCTACATGTATATGTTTGACCGACAAAACGTAACTACATATTTATCTCTGGAAGACGCTGAAAAGGAAAATATCAATTCATTTTACTACAGAATCTGTCTATAAAATAAAACCTTTCGAGGAACCGGTGCGACACGGTTATATTTTGCATGTAATTTGGTTGTTTCCTTGGAGCAAGTTTACGATCACAGTTTCTAGCAAAATGTATATAAAGATAAAACAAGAAAAAAAATGATGTTACCATCAACTGAATGAAGTAAACAGTGGAAATTAGTCTTGATCATCAAACCTCTTCGATTTGTGTGATAAAGGCATGCGTCTGAATGATGGAGACTATAGTCCGGAAGATTTTCGGAAAGCTTCTGAGTGAAAAGGAAACATTTCCTCAAGTAACTGTTCATGTAATATTTATTACCAAAAATATATTTGACTTAATGAATATAAAACACAGACTGTGAAACGTACGTTTTTATGCGTTTAAGTAAAATTTAATGTTCTAGGAAAAGCGACCTGTCGTTTTGTCGATATACATTTGTAGTAATTGATGAACAACTTTTGTTTATAACATATGAAAAACATATATATTTTTAAATACGTACTTCAAGGAAATAAATATGTTGAGCATCTCGTAATTTAAAAAGGAAAAGAACATTCTTATTTATAATTTTTTTTAATGTCATGTGCTTCAATATCATGCACCAAAACTTCAATTTATTATAGAGCAGTCCCGTCCTCCCGGTTGCAATAAGGCATTGACCTTCCATAGTTTGAACGTCCAAGAATCACGTGATACATGTATATAGTGCACAATCAAAAGCCAGACGGGAACAACACAAGAATTTTATTTCTTTGATGAAGGGGGCCATCTGAAATGTTTAGGGCAATAAAAAAACTGAACAACTTTATAGATTTCTGTGGGAACAAAACTATAATCCATCAACTGTTCCATATCACGCAATCTGAAATGATGTATGAAAGTCATATTCCCCGCTTTTATTCCGTCATCAAAGACACCTCCATCAAAAACGGCATATTTACCAGTGGCATGTAGACGTGGACTTAGGCACCTCGTAATCTAACTCTGTCGCATTCGTGACATGTAATGTGTGAAGGTTTTATTACATATGAGTAATCTGGTTTTTTTTTTTTATTTTTTCAACTTAAAAAAAAAATCAGGTACAATTTGCAACACTTTTAGATTATAACGAAAAAAAGCACATTTTAGATCCCTAATCTTCTCAATTTGTAATTTAACCTGATGATTTAATTTTATTGCATTCTTTTAATTGCAGAAAAATTTGAATCTCTATATTTGGATTGAACTTAATATGCATTTAGGTTGTTGATTGTCTGGAATTCGTGCAATTTTGAACCGTACCTAGAATAATGCAAACAGATTTAAGATTTTTTCCTTTTAAAAAATGTGACAAAAAACAAAAAGATGGATTGAATACCTGTGCGGTTTTACCAACAATTCGTTAAATTTGCAAAACATGTCAAATTCTGTTTGTCTATCAAAACATGTCACAAGACACCAAATGCGTGTCGTTGCATAACAGTTGTTGTTTCATTAGAGATCCCTAAAATAAATACCCGGCCTCACCAGTCTCGTTTTGATGGATTTGTTGACAACGTTTACCGTTAGAGGTCCCCCCTGTATGGGGTGGTATTTCCGTTGGTTCCTAGACGTCTTGTCTGTCAATATGGCAGTTCCTGACACGCACCTAGCGGCCGATCAGGGGAGGTAACCGGTGAAGAATGGATAAACATTCAAGACAAACACTGAGTAGAATTAATAAGATGTTTAATAGCTGCTTAATATGCCTGTAGAGTAGCATTTATTTTATGTAAAAATTTCGCACCAGGAGACTATGTGTCATTTTTTTCTGCTGTTATCCCAGTATTAAAGTACATCACTTTATTTTATCAACACTTTAATATAGACGAAATTAGCACGAGATAACAAATTAAACTTGATACTAAATACACTGACAGGTTTATATGTATATTTGAACAGCAGGATTCAAAATCTTAGGTATTAGAACAGCGTCAAACATTATAATTGAATGTCTTTTGTATATATCTGTATATATGGACTACATGTAGTTTGCTAACAACATTTGATTTCACATTTCACGGGGAAAATTTTGTTTTTCGTCGTTTTGCATTCTTAAATAAAAATTCCACAATGAAGTCAAAATTAGTAAAATCATTTGATGTACTAAAAACAATCATTTCATGCAAGAAAATAAAAGAACAATAACATTTAAAGGGACAAGTATTTGAGACATCACAAACTTCGAGGGCCTTGTGTATACAAAGATCACACAGATTAAGCCGACACTTCAGATTGTGTTACATCAAGTATATAAACTGACTGATAGTTGTTGTAACTCCAGTCCGGACTTTTAACAGCAGACGTTGCGTTATTCCGACCCCTCTCAGAGAGATGTAAAACGTGTAAAATACAGAACCGTGGCGATTTATGATTGACAGGAGCTGATATCAACCGGAACCTTACTAGGTACTTTGTAGAACAGGAGGCACATCGAAACGGCTGCTAGCTTCCGAGTGTGCATGGCGAGGACTTGTGAGTGACTAGTTGCTGAATATTACAGCGGCATATGAGAATACTCATCTGATTCAATTACTGTGCACTGGTAGTAGAGGAGAAAATTACCTCCTGTGTCGAAGATAATTGACTCAAAACGGTTTGCTACCATGAGGGAGACGGGACTTATGGAACTTAGATAAACAAATGTAAAATGTATGGAATACTATTAGTTATTTAGAATTATATATTTGTGTTCAGATTTTGATATTTTCATTTAAAATATGATGGTCAGTGTTAAGCTCCTGACGTTTTGCTTTGTGATTCTTAATGTGGAATTTTACGGGCACGGGTACAGTACGTACCCCCGGAGGTATAACAGGGATAGCGTGTGGGGCACCTGTCCCAAGCACTGCAGATGTATGACCCTCAACAGCCGGGGGACTCGGGGACTTCTGGATACGTGGGGAGAACAGCAGGTGTCGGAAAAGACCCTCAAGTATTTCTCCAAAGGCATCAATGATGAGGCCGCTAGAAATGGACGGAGTATGGTGTGTCAAGGTCTGAGGACACTTCCGGACCCGATTCCGGCAGGTAAGGAGTGGAAAAATATACTAGAACGGAAGTTAATACTTCTCCAAATGACCGTTAGACACCTTAAGCTTTTAAATTTTTTGTGAAGTAGACATTTTATAAATTTCCCCAATACGTTTGGTGTTATCTTTCTAGCAAAATAATTACATAAAGTCAAAGACAGTTATAAGAAAGACGAAAGATTACAATGATAATTAATTATGCAAAGATAAAGAAATCAATGACGTAAATTGCATCCCAACAGACTCTCATCTGATTTATATGTCGACAGTATCAGTACATAAAGGATAAATGTTTTAGATCATTTCAGCAATTGTGTTAGTCACTCTCACCACTTGTATCAATTAACCTAATTAACATGCTGTAATAATCACTCTGCATCTTCTTATCTGGGTATAGAACTTTCTTTTGAGAAATTCCTCTTTTTTCGATAATTGTTTGTTAATGCTGTTTGATAATGCAATTTCTGGCAAAAATCTGAATATAAAACCATTCGTTTTATAACATTTCAGAACGCTTTCAAAAGTTTGACAACAGATACATTGTCCTAATGTTAAAAGCATTTCTGTCTTGCCTTCGTTCATCGAAACTTTA